TTCTACCGAACTCCGCCATGGACGAACCGGAATGGGTTCATCCATGCTTCCCCCTTTCTTTCCTTCCTTCCTCTTCGCTTCCTTCTATTCCTTCTCCAATCAAAAACCCTCAAATTAATTTCTCAAAATTCTTCCTAATTTTGGCCGAACCTTAACTTTTGATTTTCTTCAATTTCCTTTCGGTTAGACCCAATTGACTTGATTTCTCTTGAAATCAAGCCAATTCAAACCCTTTTAGACTCAATTTTTGAAAAACGCTCAATTCAATTTGTTCAAAAAATCAAGAACCATAAATTTTAATTAAAATCAATTCAGCTTCAATTTGGAGTTTAAACCCCAAATTGAAACTTCAATTGACTTCGGTTGAGTTTAATTCATGTTTTCCAACCCCAATTTCAAAAAATCCCATATACATATGGCCATTGAAATTGATTTATGTTTAATGGCAATAATATTGGTTTAATCAATGGCAATATGCAATTCATTGATTTGTTAACTGACAATTTAAGAGAAACAATACTAGCTGGTAATGTCAATTTAGTAATTTCCTTATATTGCCTTTCAATTTCTGCTCCTATTTCGAAAGTATTAAAATTCGACCTTCCTTACTTTTATTGTCTTATTCTTTTTTCACTTCCTTTCCTATTTTCTGTATCTAATTACTATTTATTTGATAACTCAAGCTTTGGGTTATCATGAGTTTGTGGTTCTTTTAGCTACTACACGAGAATCCAACATATTAATATATCTTTGAGAAGAAACACAATATTGTTATTTAAAATTTCAAAGTATTTCATTTGTCTCTACATTTTCAATTATATTCCATCTATTTCAAAAAAAAAAAAAAATTAATATGTTCTTTCGATCATAATTTTTTTTTTACTGAAATGTTCTTTGCTAAAATATGAAAAAAATAAAAATAAAAAACAAAAACATTTAAAGTTACACAACCTACTTGTTTTATTTTTTAAGTCTTTTGAATTTTATTTCATTTTTGTATTTGAATTAAGGGTATTTCTATAAAAAAAAAATTATTTAACATTAAAAATTAATCGAAAAGGTAAATCGAACATTTCAAATGCTAAAAATTCACAAAAACTAATTGATAGAATATTAAAAGAAATTGACAAGAGTATCATGTTAAAAAATATAAAAAAAACCTTTTAGATCTAATTGATAAAATTTATAAGTTTAAGATACAATTGAGAATGTATATATAGATTTGGGATTAAATGAGGGTTTTTTTCTTTCGTAAAAGAACAAAAACTGAAAAACAAAAAATTTGTTCTTTTACTTGGTGGAACATATCAACTGAACAAATAAATTTTACAAAATCACGACTTGGACGGTCCGATTAAGCTGGTATATTATACGTTTCGGGTCAACTCACTGGTCTAGCTAGGTTTTACTGTCCATGCACCAATTATCAACGTAGCCTTGAGTAGTTTCAAACCAACTTTTTTAGTAAAAGCTCGTAAACTTTTTTTAATCAACATTTATAAACTTTTTCAGGAAATGTTTTTCAAACCCACAACATAAAATACGCACATTGGAACAAAAACAATTCAATTAAAAACGGATTATTTTTATATTTAGATCCTAGACTTTTATCTTCTATATTTTTTTATTTGATTGAGATCTTTTATTTTTTGAAATTTCTTACTTTAGATCTTTTGTTATAATGTTATCAATCGATGTTCAATTTGCAATCGAAATTTTTTATTTTATAATATCACATGTCGATCACCGATTGACGACATTATAACGGAAAGTTTGAAATAAAAAATATTAAAAAATAGAAATCTTCGATCAAGTAAAAGAAAATGAACAATCTTAATTAAAAAAACTCAAAGAGTATAGAATCTAAATTTGGAGTAAGTCCTCTTAAAAACTCAATATTTACAAGTTTCAATTCAACTCATCGAGCTAAGTTTCATAACTAAGACGAGAAATTTTATAACATTAAAAGTCTAATTACCGACATGTACGGTAGTTACTTTATGGATTAACTTCATAAAAAGAGATAAATACATAAATAAAAAAATAGAGAAATAGGATAAAAAATTAAAAAAATTGAGCAAACGTGAAAATCTTTTTATCATTTTTTTATGGATCCGGATGTATATATATATATATCTTCTCAAAAATACATTCATGAAATAATTACAGTAAATATTATTAATTACTCTTTGAGTATTATAAAATTTTTTGAGTTAAGAAAATATTTGTTTAGCTAGCCACCTGTACATTTGTCTCTTGTATATCTATTTAGTTGCCCAAAATATTCCAAAATTTGAAGGTTCTAATATTTCCATATTGTTCTTAATGTCCTCAAAATGGTCTCTGTGGGACGGTAGCCATACACGTCATGGACACTGAATTCTTTTGTGTTTGGTTCTTCCCTAAAGAAGGAAAAAAAAATTTTCCCATATGCTTTTGGCCTCATGCGTTGATGCTTAGATCATTAGTGAGATCATGTGTGAAGAATTTGACCACAAAAAAAGAAAGAAATACGTGTGAACATTTCGTGTTCACATATGCCCATGCTGTAAATTAATTTCTTTTTTTAAAAAAAAAGTGAGTGTGACCTATGGTTTGTTTAATACTTTTTGAAGTGTCAAAAATGGAGTTGGAAAGATCATGGGGTGATTTGTCAAAAATTAATCCCTCTTGTTTTGTAAAATGAATTGAATAGCCCTTCTTATTTTAAAAACTAATTAATTAATTTTTTAATAAATATTGATCATGATTAATTTAATATTACTTTAATTGTTTCATTAATATTTTTTCATTAATATTTTCATATTATTTACTTATTTTTATCTATTTTTCTATTTATAAAATATAAAAAAATAAATTAAAGAAGACCAAATATGATTAAGTTATAAATAGATTTAAAAATAAAGAGATTATTTAATTAGTTTTTAATACTAGAGGAAATATGTAATTCATTTTACAAAACTAAAAGGACTAATTTATAATTTACTCGTGATTTGTTGGACGGCTGCTGCTTTTTTTTTTTTTTTTTTTTTGGGAAAATTGTGACTTGGTAGGTCTTAGATAGCGTCTGCTTATATAATCGGGCAAAAAGACCTTTTTAAAGAGTAAATTATAAATTACTCCCTCTACTTTCAAAAAATAAATTACTTAGTTCTTTTGGTTTTAAAAACTAATTATTTAGTCCTTCTATCAAGTGTTGATCATAACTAATTTAATATTTTTTATTTTATAAAATATATTATTTTTCATCAATCTATCGATATTTTTACTTATTTTTTTCTATTTTATTTCTTAAAAAAATCAAAATAAATTAAAAAAATAACAAAAAGGACTAAAGAATTAGTTTTTAAAACAAAGAGATTAATTAATTCGTTTCTCAAAACAAAAGGGGCTAATTTATAATTTACTCCCTTTTCTAATTCAAACATTTTTTAAAAACATTTACATGGAATAACAGAAATTTTAGAAAAATAATCTTTCGAAATCAATTTTCAAAAAAAAAATTATTTATCATGCAAAATTATATTCAATTGACTAAATTAAAATTACACGTGTTCAATTGATCGCATTAAAAACACAAAAGGCTTTATTTAACAGATTTTCATCTGAAAATTTTCAATAAGAATGATCAAATTTTAGCCATCTCACTTGATTTACAAGGATAAACTACAATATTATGATCAGATTTTATTCAATATTTATGTTCACTCAAGATGCAGACAGTAGAGCTACTCAAAAACGTGTGAACAGTTGATGCTATCATTTCCCATTCCTACTCGTTTTTGCTATCCTCCATTAATGGACCTTTGATCCAAAGGAACAATTCTCTCACGTAAACACACTGCTAACCAAATTCAAAACCTTTTTTTCTTTCTTCAAATGTGAAACAGGTTACGCTTTTTAGCGGATAAACTGGCCGGCAATGTCAAGGAAACAGACTTATAAAGAGTACAAAATTTCTGAGCAAAGAGAAAACTATAGACTTTGTCATAAAAATTCAAAGGGTATTAATTTTTATTCAATAAGATTTGTTTATTTTTTTATTTTTTAGAATTCATACCTTAGAGGTAGAGTTTATGAATATTTATTTTTATGAAGTGCTATCTTCTTGCGGAAGCAGTCTCTTAAAATCGTTGGGAAAAAAAATTGTTTGATATGCAAGTTAATTCAAAAATATGAAAAAAAAATACAGATTGTAAAAATAAAAAAATGACAATAAAAACTGATTTAATAACATTTGATGATAATTGAAAATTATAAATAAAGTGGTACAAAAAGTATTTTTTACTAATTATAGATTCAATTCTCATTATTGAAAAGTTTATTATTTTTTTAGTAACATTAGACGTGGACTATTAATAAATTCAAAAGAATCCGATTAGTAAAATCAAAGAATCTTATTATTAAAATCGACTGATCGTTAGATATGATCTAATAATAATCTAATAATGATCTAATTTAGAAAGTAAAAATTTAATTTCTATTGAAAGAAAGACTAATCCCATAATAACTCCTTTTTTACTTTCAAAAAAAAAATATATATATATATATATATATATATGCAATATTCCTCCGGCCAGATAGGATCGAAGGTTAAAAAAACACGTAAAATCACATATTCCATGCAAATGACAAGAATACCCTTCAGCGGATTCTTTCTTTGGCTTTCCCAATGCAACTGCGACAAAGTCAAAACTCAAGAAAAGCACAGATTCAAAGACATACAATATCTTAAATTACCAAAACACCCTTGACAAACTTCTGCGAAACAGAGACAGGCTGCCCCCTCTGTAAGGAATCATAGCCGACCCAAGCAAATATGACCTGTCTGTCCCTTCGCTGTCACCCATTGGAAGACCATAACCATCCAGTCCCTTCCTAGAAGATCCTCTACTTTCTTTCCTCCCCCTATATAAACTCACCAATTCATGCTTTTTTTACTCATAAATCACATAAAAATCCAATCTTTACACTTATTTTCAAAAGGGTTTTGATCAAGAATGGCAGGAGTTGAGAAAAGAGCAGATTTTGAAGACTTGTTGCCTGTAATGGCAAACAAGCTAGGTGGAGAAGGGTTGATAAACGAGCTATGTAATGGGTTTCAGCTGTTGATGGATAAAGAAAGAGGAGTTATTACTATGGAGAGCTTGAAAAAAAATTCAGCTTTCTTGGGTTTGCAAGATTTGAGTGATGATGAGCTTGTTAATATGGTTAAGGAAGGTGATCTTGATGGTGATGGGGCTTTAAATCAAATGGAGTTTTGTGTTTTGATGTTTAGATTGAGTCCTGAGTTGATGGAAGAATCAAGATTTTGGGTTGAAGAAGCACTTGAAGAAGATCTCAAGAGTTACGGACTTTGAGTACTCATGGCTAGCCGCTGCTCATCGTCATGGATTCTACCGATCTTTTTGGCATTGCAAAGATTTTTCTGCCGATAAAAATAACACTGCCTGGATATGGTGCTGACTGCTTCTCTCTAGTTTCTTTCTTTTTATTCCTTGAAACTTGTTTTCTGATTGTTTTTATTGATGTCCAAAATTGAAATTTAATGGAAAATACACAGGATTAATTACAAGGAATTTTGGTGTTTCTTGTGGTCTCAATTCATAATCTTGTTTGTTTATTGTTTGTTTACTGTTAGTGTTAACATTAACCACTATTCCGAGGACGGTCCGAGACCCCATATTTTGAGGCCACGATATAGTCCCTCAATATTATACGATTGTCAAATTAGTCCTTGACACTAACACCTAACACCTAACACTAACCACTAATGACTAACCATTCCATCTCTTCAAAAACAAAAGTAATATATATATATGCCAATGCTCATATTCTCATGAACCAATCAAGAAGTAGAATAAAGCAAAAGGTTTATGGAGGAAAAAAAAAAGGAAGAAGAAGAGGGTAAGGGATAACCTTTGAATAAATCCGCAACCCATAAGCAGTGGTGGAGGGTGACGAAAATAGTTGGGGGGTCAAGTTAAATATAATATGACTTAAAAAGAAAAAATAAAATGGGGAAGGAACAAATTAGAAAATTATAAGGGTTTATATGAAATATAACTAATTTAGAGGGACTATAATGAACTTTTAAAAAATTTGGGGTAAGAAAAGGAACAATGCCGGCATTTTTTCTTAAAGAAGATAATGTTTTGTGTCAAGAAGGTACAATAATTTTAGACATAAGGGTTCGATTGAAAATTCAATTTTAGATACAATGAGGATCTAATCAAGAGAATTTCAGGGACGCAATTCAGAAACATCTTTTAGATGGAGGACTTAAATGAGGTTATATAATTACCCCCATTGTTTGACGGTTCAATTGCCAAAGGAAAAAAATAATAATAAAAAATGTGGAATCACATAAGAAACTCACAGCTTATGAAATTTGCATTACTTAACTAGAGAAAAAGAACAAACACATGGAGCACATACAATTTTCAAGAAGATTCCGGCCACTGTATGGGACATTGAATTGATCCAACTTAGATTCCCATTTTTATTTTTTTTTAGTAGTAGTGACATGCCATGTTTTGTAGAAGATTGTTTTAGGGGTTAATTGTTGAATTTGTACTTATATAGTTATATTATAGCCTAATTTTTTTATCTGTTTTTATATTTTTAGTTGAATTAATTTTGTTTTTAATATATTTTTTTGACAGAAGTTTCAATTTAAATTATTAAAATCAGTCACATGATTTGTAAATGATAATCTTCCATTTGTTTAGTTTACAAAGGCATTTAAAAAATAAAAAATAGCCATATACAAATCATGTGACTAATTTTGTTGTTTTGACTTAAAAATTTTACTAAAATGATAGATTAAAAACTTAATGTATATTTAAGGATCAAATTGACTTAATTAGAAATGCAAAAACATAGTGAAGAATTACCTTATTATATAAGGTTAATACCATCACCTATTCTTATATAATATATCAATTTTCAATTTGTTCCAAAATTTTGAAACACCTCCAATTTGTTCTTATAGTTTGAATTGATTTCTAATCTATCATTTTAGTTAAAATTTTTAGCCAAATCAAATTTTTTTATTAGACAGATTGGAAATGTTTTAAAATTTAGAGACAGATTAAAATATTAACCTATTATATAAAGATGGATGAGTATATTAATCCTATTATATAAGGACACATTAAGTCATTAATTTTTTTTTAATTAGCTTCGATCCGTTCCACACTGACCTTAATTTATTTTTCTAATTTGGGGTAATAGATTTGGATTTGTGAGGTAATGATACTTTGTGAAAGGTATGGCAGGTTAAGAATAGATTAGTGAGGAAAGCAAGTCAACATGTATTATCGCAAGATCTAATCTTTTAGGAAATTAAGAGGAAAGAGACCACAAGAATATGTATAGCTGTTGCCATCCTTGAACTGATCTTAGAAGCCTTAATCCATCATAATATATTCAAATTCTTGTCACTTTAATAAATGAATTAATTAATTATATGCAGTGGTTTGCCTATGGTTGTGTTATGGTAGACAGACAAAACTTACAGCAAACCCAAGATTGTTGGTCAAGTTGGCACCAAAGTTCCATCCTCCTTCCATCCCTCAATTTTTAATTTTTAATTTTTAATTTTTTTTCCTTTTGTTTTGGTGAAGAATTCAATCAGCTTTATCTTAGGAAGCTGCTTAAAGAGAATCAAACCATCAAGAAGCTTGTATAAAGCTAGCTAGAAAGCAAGAGCAGAAAAAAACTAGATTAAAATGGTACATGAAAGCTCTTTCCAAATTACTAGTTACCATGAAATTCCCATTCACACATTAATTATAGTTCTTAGATAGTAATTAGCTTAATTTGAAACATAAGAGGTTAATTTGATTGTTAAGAATACAGTTAAAATCTCCATTTAGACTGTAAAAAGTACATAAAAAAATGTGAATTTTAGTTTCGGCATGGATAATTAACTTTTGATTGAACTAGAAGGGTTAATTTTAATTATTTGAATATAATTTCGTAAAATTGATAATTTTTATACGTTAGATCAAATAAAAGTATGATTGGATTTGGATCCCACTTATATGATTATATTATTATTTTTATTCGAATTAATATATAAAAATCATTGATTTTGCAAAATCTTACTCAATTGACATAAATTATAAATATACATGATCAATTGAACAAATTAAAAATACAAAAACTTATTTGACACATTTATAAAAACACAAGATGTGAATACTTTGTTTATCACTTTGCAATCTAAATAGCTAAACAATTTATCTTATTTATCACTTCTCGGTCAAGAATATATTAAGATCATTTTTCAAAATGATAAAAAATGTATCTACCATGTCAAATTAATATATTTTTGGCAAGTCTTCTTAATCATAGAAACCTATTGCCCATGGCATGAAGCAATTTATGTTAAAAATTGGATGAATATTCTTACGCATACGTCTCTTGACTTCTTGACAATTTCTACAGATCTTTCCTCTGAATTTATGGTCTAAGTCAATCAAAACTGAACTATCAGTCCTAGGTAATTCATATAGCCGGCTACTCTTCACATCACTTTCTACCAAGCTTTTAAGAGTGAAAGATCCAAACATTTCCCTTCGACATTTCGGGTGTGCAAGAAGTCAATAACCTTTTTTTAGCAGCCATTGATTGAGAAAATTCTAATATCTAAGTTGAATTTTGAAGCAACCTATGAATTCTTCTTTGTTATTTTGTTTGGTCTTTGAACATTCCGAAACATTTTGTGTTCTGAAGCTGATTACAACATCAAAGTCAAGGAGGGTTTTCAATTTCTCTTTTAAAAAATATATTTTACACATTTTTCAAAGATCTATAAATTCAATTTGCTTACATCATTTTATCTCAAAGAAAAGTGTTTATTTATTTATTTATTTCTAACGATGAAGGTATCAGTGTACTAATTTTTATTTATTAAAACTAAATTCTTTTCCAATATAATTGGTCAAAAAGAGAGAAAAAAATTCATAGTCGGAATGAGTTGGACGATACAATAATGGCGGACACTTTTTTCTTTAGGTAATTAGTTTCTTTGAGGTCTAATGAATGGGTTAATGATTAAATTACACAATATATATATATTACGGAATAATGCTAATCATACATAATTATTTTACATAATTCATTTATCGAAAAACTATCAACAACTAGATGGGAATTCGTCACTAACTCTCATAAATGTAATGATTGATATTTTCGTTAATTGAATTCTTCAAGACCATTAAATATGACTCGTATTACTCTATTTCATGTGGGGATGAAATTGTTTCTCAAAACAAGAAAAAATGTGAATGAGAAATTGAGTTCTAAATTCTTACTAAGTAAGACCGATAACTTAAAAAGTTAACAAATAGATGAGATTAATATAGAAATAAATAATAAAAACATGAATTTAAAATGAAAAAAAAAGAGAGAAAAACCTAATTAAAAAAAAATCTCGTTAACTCTAAATTCTTGGGACCAAGCCACTATCACACTATTAATTTTGCATTCTATACCACTTTTTCAAACAAATTTTCTTATCAATCCAGATTTATGAGAAAACACTCCATACATTTTAAATCAAGTTGGGATAGAAAATGGATTTTGGGCTGGATAATGGATTCATTCTCTGGTGACCCAACAAATCATTTCAATTTTCTAGATGGCAAATAATTTTTTCCTTTTTCTGGCCCATGCATACGAAGGAGACTTCCCTTTACGATCTTCAAGAAATCTTTGGATACCGAATTGTCCAAACCAAAACAAAGTCAATCACATAATTTAAATCTGTTGTATGATTAATTAAAGTAGTGAGATTTTTATTTATTTTTTACCGACCAATCAAATTATGTAATTCTTTTTCATCCTCTTTTCATACTAAAATTAAATTTATGGTTTGATATTTAATTAGACTTTTTAGTCCTCAAACCAAAATTTTTAAATATTATTATAGTGTTTTATTTTTTTAAAACAGTAGTGACATATTGATAAAAATACACTCGAACTATATCTATCTTTTTATTTGTAAGATTACCAATCAATGATAAAAATATTGATAAAAAAATAAATAAATCAAAATAAGGTCTAGTCGTTTCAACCCACAGCCAAAATCTAGAAGATCTATTGGATTTGGTATCCCATGATCTTATTGATAGGCTTTGCCTGCCATTTTTTCTCCCCTCACCTTTTGTGCATGGGGTTGCTAGTCAAAAGTACAATCCATAGCAATAAAATCATCTCCTAAAATATAATATAAATAAAAGTCGTGGATAATATCATTTCCATAGATAATTAATTACAAAAAAAAAAAAAATTCAATTGTATAAAAAATTTATGAGGCCATTTCATGAGATCTTGGTGAGGTGAAAAAAAG